TAGACGCGTATTCAGAAAACAAAACCAATACAAGCAAAACATAATCAATGCAACTTACCAACAGGAGATGAGCATTTGATTGAAGACGAAAGATGAAAATCAATCCGCTTTTATTTATACTCTCGCAGGGGAGTCAACAAGCTGCTTTGTACAGGGGTTTTGTAGATCTGCAGCTATGCACGGCTTCGTCAAGCTTAGCAAGCCGTCGTTCTTATTCTTTTTTCGCAGCTTTACTTTCTCTTATTATGCACAATGTGCAGCGCCGCGTCAGAAATGGATTTAGCATTCGGTGAAATGCTGGGAAACACTTGAATAAATAAATGCCTGCAGCTGTTGGTAGGGTCTTTGTGCTCATGAATGAATGAGCAGAACGCAAAAAGATTGCGTTCGTGCGCCTTTGATGCGTCTTAAATGATCAGCAATCATGAAATATCCTGCGTATTTTCTTTGCAAGTTTACTGCCTAGAACCGGCAGATCCGCCGGGAAACTGTCATGTAAATGGCATTTGCGCGTATCGCACTCGATGCCATGCAATGTTGCAAGCGAAATTGGCTTTGAAAAACGTAAAATATCGCAGCTTTCCACCATATCAACACCGCCGTCAGCGAGGTGCGCATACACCCGAACGGGGGTTGCAAGGATGCTGGAAAGCAAACAAACTAACAAAAGAAAACCTGAACAATGCATTTCTAATCTCTCCTCTTTGGTATTTGTTTCCCTTTCCTCAGCTACCATCAACATTAGCTAGACGAGTAATAATGCAATTGCAGCGCCCCTACTGTAGTTTTTCTGTTGATGTCTATGGATCTGAACACGTATTATATATATATATGACAAAGGAATTTTATTTTCACGAATTAAACGGCCGGCAAAAAGAGTTTTTCTGATAATTGAAAGCACTTGAAGCACTCGAAGTGCTACACAGGTGTGTGTTTTGAGTCTCGCGCTGCAGAAGGAAGCAGCCGCTTCCTCGCAAGTTCTGTGCCCCCCTACATTTTTTATGGGTTGCAGGAACCAGCGGGAGCATCGAGTGAGGGCTCCGACGGCCAGCTACCTCTGCAGCAGCGGCAACCGAGGCTGCATGTTTATGTTTTTTTTTCATGTTTAAGTTTGTGTTCTGTTAATCTGAACCCTTCTCCATTAACTTTGACAAAGAGAAGCGGTAGGGGCGGCAATTCAAATAGCACTTCACGCCCCCTTGAAACGCGACCTAAGCCTAAAGAACCCGAGAAAAGTCAAACACCATTTCCATTGGGCCTTGTATGCAGCGCCTGAGATGCATGCATGCATGACCCGTTTGCAAGAAAGGAAGAAAGCCTACCACACGACGGTTGCTGATTCACAAGCCAAGCCCGAGAACAGCGTGAGAAGAAGACAATATGCTCTCCACCATCACACGAACTGGAAGGATACAAGCATCCCGTCGGTAGTTGCAGCTCCATCCCGATCCCGATCCCGATCCCCGATCCCGGCAGGGCCTGCTGCAGCGCATAGCATGCCTTTCCTCCTCCTGCTGCTGCTGTATTCACCTCAAGGACAACCTTCGCTTGAATATCCCCGAGATAGCAAAGACAAGAAAAGACAATAACCACACTGCACTGCCGCAACCCCTATATACAGGATCTGTCTCTTCGCTGCATATTACCCAATGGAAAGATGTACGTACACCGCAGCGCGATCTGCTGCAGTGCTTAAGCTGTGATAAAACACAGCAAACTCAACAGCATACAAGAGAGCGAGAAGCACGCAGTCTCTTGCCGCAGCAGCAGCAAGAGACTGTTGCTCCTGCAGCTGCAGCACGAGACTGCTGCTCCTGCAGCAGCAGCACGAGACTGATGCTCCTGCAGCAGCAGCAGCAGCAAATCTCGCCTCTCTCCCGCGCGCCAATTAAACACGAAATTGTTAATACAGCAACAAACAAGCAGCTGCAAACCTCAGCATTTAAACACGCCCTGTGCATGCACAAGGATATCAGAAGGCAGGCAGCACTACGCCTGCTCGCGCTGCTGTCTGCAGCTGCAGCAGCAGAGGCAGCCTTGAAGGCCGAAGTAATTATTATATATACAAAGCGGATGATCAAGCTGAGCACTCAATGAAAATAAACGCAACACCGAATGCAAACCCTAAGCCCTAAACCCTAAACCCCCTCTTCTTCGTCATCCCTCTGGGGCTGTCGCCGTTGCAGCCCCGCTGCAAACCCGAGCCACAGTGCTGCCGCTGCTGCTGCTGCTGCTGCTGTCGCTGCTGCTGGGTATTTCCGCTGTCTGTATACTAGATGTGTGAGGGTGTTTATTTGTTTGTTTATTTATTTGTTTGATGAAATGCATATAAAATTTATTTGTTTATTCATGGGATAGAGTCTTGCTGAGCAAGAGAAAGGCTCGGGTCCGTCAATTGTACATCTGCTGCATCTGCTGCTGCATCAGTATCTTTTCCTGCTGCTGCTGCTGCTGCTGCTGCTTCTCGCTGCTTGGCTCGCAGCTGAGCAGGGCTTTTATCATTTCTCCCCAGGAGCACAAGAGAGAATATCCATACAAACTGCAGCAGCAGCAAGCCGACCATAATGCCTTGTACAATTAATAATCCGTTACTTATATTAGGATTAAGAGCAACACGAGAATAGAGCGGGTTGCATGCAAGAGAAAGAAGGCCCCCTACCATCTGAATAATGCCGATAAGCTTCCCGAAATGTTCATAGGTGAAGTGTTGCTCTATATAAACAAATACTTGAGAAGTAAATATAGACATATAGTTTGTAAAGCATAAGACAGATAAATATCCTAAGGCTACAACCTCCCCGAAGGTAAACAAATACATTAAAAGACCGCTCATATTCGTAATAAACAAAACGCGAATAATTCCCCAGCGATCTGCAAGATATCCCCACATGATGCAAGGTAAGAAAGAGAAAGGAAGCAGTACTTTTAAGAAGTTTCTGACGCCTTCTTCTAGTGGGTCCGTCAATTGTACATCTGCTGCATCTGCTGCTGCATCAGTATCTTTTCCTGCTGCTGCTGCTGCTGCTGCTGCTTCTCGCTGCTTGGCTCGCAGCTGAGCAGGGCTTTTATCATTTCTCCCCAGGAGCACAAGAGAGAATATCCATACAAACTGCAGCAGCAGCAAGCCGACCATAATGCCTTGTACAATTAATAATCCGTTACTTATATTAGGATTAAGAGCAACACGAGAATAGAGCGGGTTGCATGCAAGAGAAAGAAGGCCCCCTACCATCTGAATAATGCCGATAAGCTTCCCGAAATGTTCATAGGTGAAGTGTTGCTCTATATAAACAAATACTTGAGAAGTAAATATAGACATATAGTTTGTAAAGCATAAGACAGATAAATATCCTAAGGCTACAACCTCCCCGAAGGTAAACAAATACATTAAAAGACCGCTCATATTCGTAATAAACAAAACACGAATAATACCCCAGCGATCTGCAAGATATCCCCACATGATGCAAGGTAAGAAAGAGAAAGGCAGCAGTACTTTTAAGAAGTTTCTGACGCCTTCTTCTAGTAATCTATTATGTGCTTCTTGATAAAAAGAGCTTGCCCATCCAACTCCAACAAAATATAAAGTTAAAACAATATACTTAGCAGAGAACAACTGCCGACGGAAGCTCGCCCCTGGGATAGCACAGCGAGAGTCTCCTGGTGCAGGGTCTGCACATTGCATGTCATCTTCAAGACCTTCTCCGCTGCTGCTGCACTTCCTTGCTGCACCTTCCTCTCCTCTAGCTGCAGCAGCAGCAGCAGCAGCAGCAGCAGCATCTGCAGCAGGAGAGTCATGCACTTTCTTTGCATCGTCGCGGAAGTCCTTGTAGCCAGCCCGAGGGATAAAAAGTAAAGAAAGAAGAATACAAAGACCCGGGCCTAAGCCTGCATAAGCCCAAAAGACTTTCTGAGGGTTTGTTAAGCCTAAGTTATTGCAGATAGCTTCAAGAATAAGAGGCACAGCAAAAGAAGCAGATGCAGCGCTCCCTAATAGAGTTATACTTAAGCCTGCACTGCCTGGAAATAGACGTGTGATGCATAGAGTAGGTAAGAAACCCATATCTGCACCCATGCCTATGAAAACAAAGCCAGCATATAGAGCACCATTACCTAAGGACTGCCTGCTAGCAAGCAATGCCCATCCAGTAAAGTTAAAGACTTGTCCTAATACTGCTGTCATTAGAGGCCCTGCGAGATCCATAGTTGTTCCTGCAATAGAGCTAAATGTTGTGTGTACAGCGAGTGTTATGGTGTATAAATGTTGTACTGCTGCCTCTTGTTCATTGCATATAAAACCCTTTTCTTCTGTCATATCTCCTATGTAATTCCCCGCTGCATCTTTCTCGCATAAGTTTGAAAAACTCTCTGCTCGAAGCAGCATAGAAGATATTGCTGCCCAGCCAAAGTATACACAACCCGTAAGAAATACATACAGCAGGTATATAAGAAGGATGCCATAGCGGTTCAGCCCAAAAGGAGTTGGTTGCTGCGCCCCCGGTAAGTCACTGCGAGGCACTAAATTCTTTAAAGATGTACGAAGTTTGCTGCAGCCGCCAGAAGCCGAAGAAGAAGAAGAAGTACCCCCTTTCAGGTCTTGCATCGTGCTGGTGGCGGTGAGGGATGAAGAGTGAAAAAAAAAAGAGAAAACCCACAGAAAAAAGGCAAGACAGCGAAGAACTCAGAAGAAATATGGTTGGACTTTATGAATTTTATAAACAAAACGCACTAATTTAAAAAGAAAATAAGGAAAAACAAAAATAATTCAAACACAAACACAAACAACAAACAGGTGTCTGTACACCGCAGCGATCGCACCGATGATATAAAGAGCCGCGGTATGGGGCGCTACAAGCTAATAAACATACAGAGATTGAGGGATTTTTGAGGTTGTTCGGCTCATTTTTTCGCGTTTTCTACACCAATTACACGTTTTAGCCTTTAAAATAATGTTTACACATAAAAAAGTAGAGAAAAATATACAAAAAACACCTGGCTAACGCTAGACACAACACCGGCAACAATTCTGCACAGCCCCACATGAGAGATACGATTGCTTGCTGAGGCGTGTCTATAGTCGTCTGCATCTACAATTAAAAACGTTAAATTGAATAAATTAAATCAAAAATGATTCAATAAGACCATGAAACTAAAAAAGGAAGCGAAAAAAGAGAGCCAGCTAGACAGCTGTACATAGGACGGCAGCTCGATGCAGCTTTCTTCCAGGCGATGTCCTTTAAAAGTACAAATATTTTGTTTGTATTTTTAGTATTATATTTATACATTCAAAAAATCATTTTTAAAAAACTAAATATTATTTATTTAGTCCTCAAACACCCACACTGTCTGCGCAGCTCGCCGCCAGAGGCTTCATACCTTGCACAGGGCCGCAGCGAATCGAAGTAGTCTTAGGGAGAAAATAATAAAATATAAAGGATAAATAATAAAATAAAAGTGCAGTAAAACACAAAATAAAATAAATAAACGCAATATAATTTAAAACAGTGGTTGCCGATAGCCTATATTATGCAGCACGTTCTCATGATTATTATTACTATTATTAGTATGTCTGCATGACTGCGAGAAAGAGTATTTAAAAGCAGCTGCTCACTCGTCTTCTCTCCTTCACCCAGGCATTATATTCTAAGGCTTCTCAAATAAAGGCTTGCAGCTGAGGAGAAGGAGAGCGTAAGTGAGTTTCAGAAGTGTAGCTCTCAGCAGCTACTGCTGTTTTCTGCACGATATTTTTTCTTATAAACATAAACACAGTCAAAGCCTCTTTGAATTAAAACTACAGATTACTGGAGTTCTTCTTCATAACACCAACTCCGCATACACCAAATTAAATAAAATAAATAAACAGCATGCGATTGATTTCGGTAGGATCGGGTGCTGTATACGAAGCAAAAGACGTTTGCACGCACGACAAGACTGTCTGGTGCTGCCGCAGGTGCTGCAGCAGCTGGATATATGGCGTCTTGCAAATGCTTTAGAAACACAAGATGATTCGGTGACAGTTTCAGGTAGAGAGGTGTAAAATACATGCACTATCTAATATATATATATATATATATATATATATG